TTGGTTAGTCAAAAAGTAAGTATATAGTATTAAATTGATAAGAAGATATTGGAGAATATCTCCATTGTCAAGATTGAATATAGTAGATAATACACTAAATGATAAGCATATAAGGCAATTAGAAAATTAAAATCACGTGGTATAAAAATTAAAGAAATAAGTAATAGAATATATACAAGAAATGACATGGTGAAATAACTAAACAAATATTTACAAGAGTTGAATTACAATTGAAGTAGGCCTCTGTAAACATAGTGACCCCCAAGTACTGCTCGTGCCGGGTTGCTCACTATTCTAAAATTTAAGCAGCCCTGTGGCTCGCCTGGATCGAACCCTGCTGGAGGGTTGCTCCTTCAACAGGCCAGCCACAGATCGGGTGTTCGTACTGTGCAAATATTATCAAATAAGTATCTTATCAAATATGGAACTTTATTGCATTTATCTTGTGGTAACACTTTTAAAAAGTGGGTCAGTCATCCTTCTTTTATAAGTTTTATTAATGAGTTCTCTACCAATTTATTAAATTTTTGGCAGAAAGCGGAGCAATTGGCATCCCTGTTTTTATTTGTAAACATAACATCTGAAAACTTTAGGTTTTAATTGTCTACACTCATATGGGGCTCTAACTAATTCATCTGAGTGGGAATTAATTGTCTATTCGTTCGTTCGTTGTTGTAGAACTGGGCATCTGAGGCCTAAATGGCCCTTTAATTAATTGTCTACAATTGTATAAAGAACAATTTAAAGCTTTATTTTACTAAAATATTGTAGTAGATAGACATGTTTTGTATCTCCAAGATAAAACTGAGAAATAAATAATTCTGTAACCAGTTCTTATGTTTGTTTTTGTATGAAAGAACTGGCAAGTTTACATGCTAACCGGCTGTAATATAGGTTAAATAAGAACTTATCTTGCAGACTGTCTGATGGACCAATACCTGGCAAACGCGAGTTACACATACCATTGTGCGTCTTTCCTCTTCTATTTTTTTTTTTAATATTAGAAGACTTAGAACAAATGCTTCATCTGTCTTCACCTGAATATAAAATGTCGTCCTCTTTGGCGCAGTGTACTCGGCTCTTGTGAGAATCAAAACCTTCGAATTCAGAGAAACTCGGAAGAATTAAACTAAAGTTGAGTGTAGGCGTTATAACAAGGCTATACAATTTTATGGGAGTCGACTTAATTTTATTTTTACTGCAATTGAAAATTCAATCGTTTCCCTAGGCAACTTTTGTAGCTAACAAAACCAAAAAGAAAAATTCTTACTTTCGAAGCAAAATTTTAAAATTTCATAAACAATTGAACGAAGTTCTTTGTAATACGAAAACGGAAGAGAAAACTCAATTTCATTATCTTGAAATGTTTATAAAAACCAGACATAAAAATGGCAAAAGAGTCAAAATGGTAAAAGACCGTAAGTGACGTTTAAGTCGCCGAACTCATTAAATTTTCATGAAATATTCTTGAAATTCAAAGAAAGTACAGTTGTAGAATAGTGTATAAAGCCTATAGTTTTTTTTCTTCGTTTATTACATCTATAGTGCATTTTTTCACATCTTAGAAATGTATTTATCTTTTGAAACTTACTCTAATTTTTTTTATTTCTACAATATTCGTAATTTTAAGACTAGTATCCTAAATAAATATTTCATTTTTAAAAATAAATAAAAATGAAGAAAATTTCTAAGAGTTTTTCAAACATCAGTTCTTATTAAAGTAAATGTGATTTTATACAAACAAAATAATGTTGAACTTGTGCGAAAGCATGATTTTTTTTTAAGTATGGTAGAACAGAAAGAGAAATAAAAACCTAAATAGTTCTTAAAAGTAATTGTACAGACTCAAATGACGCATCGTGTAAACTAAGAATTAGTTCAGTTCATGAGTTCAAACCTATTATAGTGATTTTACGAACGTATGATACAAATAATCGTTCAGCGGTGAAACTCGGGTAAGTCAAAAAACGACTGAACTATTGAACTCAGACCGTCATATAAATGCTCTCTCATTATATGAGGTATTAATCATTTCAAAAAGTTCAGACATAACAGAAGATTGGAATTCTCCATCACAACAGTGCGTGAATATACCAATTGTAAAATTCTCATATCCTCTGAACCTTTTGAACCAGTTATATGGCCAAGTATACGGTCATGGCCATTTATTTGGCCATGTCATGCTAAAATATTATTGGGATTCATTTATAAAAGGAAATTCATTTAGCTTATTACCTAAATTTAAATGGGAGCATGCTCCTACTTGTTCTGCAAGCCATATTTTATCCTCTGTTTTCAGAAATTTTATCCTCTCCTTAATAGAACTTTGCATGCCTTTATATTTCTCTAACTATGTTTTCCTAAACATTTTGTCCTCTCTTTTTTCCCATTATTATTTTTTTTTTAAGTTACAAAACATTAACAACCGAATTCCTTACATTGTGAGGAATTTATCATACACTCTGAACGTCTTTATTAAATGTATATGAATTTAATTTCTGAATCTCTAAAGTGATTTTTTTTCAGAGCATAATAAATTTTGTCTCTCTCTCTCTCTCTTTTGCCTCACAACAAAAGCTTTCGAGCAACTTTTGAAAAGCGTGTAAAAGGATGAAAAAATATCTGACAAGCCCTCAACTTAAGTGCGAAATTCCAAGTCCATTTTAGGAGCCTTTATGGATGTACTTTGGAGCATGTCTCTATCTCTCTCTCTAACTATGTTTTCCAAGCCATTTTATCCTCTCTTTTTCCCTATTCTTAGGGAAGGGGAATAAAGCACTTTGAAGTGAAAGTGGAGGCAGAGGGGGTCTGAAGAGGCAATAAGGGGGGCTATGAAGGAAAATCCACCAGGTATTCTCACATGAATGAATTGCTTCCGAATTCAGTTGCTATGGAAACTGGATGGAAAGAAGGTATGCGAATAGAACTCTGTCTTCTAAAGATAGGTTTTTGAATGTGGAATCAGTCGTATCAATGAAAAACGATTAGTTTGACTTCAAAAATGTGGAAGCGATTTAAAAAGAAGAAAATGTATTTTTATAATTTTTGAATTTATTGATATTTTTCCTTTTTAAGAAAGAAAGAACATGTAATGACGCTGAAGAAATGATATTTGAAGGTTTCACTGTGGAAAAAAAGTGCTTTTCATTGCATTGTAAATGGATGTATGTCAATTCTTTTTTCAAAAGTGAATAACTATCAACTTTATTATAATTCACATTCACTTAGTTAATCTAAAAGAAAAGTATAAGAACAGTAAGATTCAAAATCTCTAAAAATTCTACTCATGCGATACAGAATACAACAGCGCCAGAAAGCAATATTGCTAGAACAGTATAAAGATGTGCGTGGACGTTTTCATACGACGAGCTCAACGGTTTGAGTTGAGTTTCTATTATAAATATAATTAAATCAAAATATCGTTCAAAGTTAATAGATATGCATCTAAAACATATAATTTTTCTAATAAGAACCACGGTGGCTCACGGGATGGCTCCTCTTAATGAGGTGACCCAAGTTCGAATCCCAGCTGAGGCTGGTTGATACAACTTCTACTTTTGACTCGCATGGACCACAGTGTTGGCTTAGAATACCCTGAGAGGTAGACGGATCAAGGGTAAGAATTCCTTTACAGTCGGGCTAACCGTGGGGGGTGCATGGTTTCCCTTTCCATATAATAAAAATGCGGGTTAGTTCCATCAAAAAGTCCTAGGCTCCCAATGCTTGATCCAGGAGTTCCCTTGCTTTCCGGGTTGGGTTACAAGGCTACGGAAAGTTAAACATTGAAAGTCGTAATCTAAGAAATAGGTCGGCTGTTCATCACCAGTTATAAAATAAATTAAGAATTTAATGTTTCATGTCATTTATATAAATTTTTATATGTAATTCAACCGAATGAATATATAAAAATGTTTGTACAGAGGGCCTCCCAGAGGGACACTATATACAAACAACAACAAATATACAAACTCTTCCTTTTATAATAACAGATATCCGAATAAACTCAGAAATATACATTTTTATTATCGAAATTTAGTTTGAGATTGAACCATGCTTATACTCCATTCTTTTTCAATTTCAGCGTTTATTTCCATGGTAAATAAAAGTCTTCCCTTAACGTAATTGCTTATAAATATAAAAACATATGACTGATAATATTCCCATCAATGCCGTATTTTAATGTTTTTACAAAAGATTTTCTCGTGGTTGTAAAAGTTATGCCTTTAATATTTGAGCTCTTTAAATAAAGAATTAGTTGAAGTTGAAAAGAAAGGGTTAACTTTGTTCTACTATACATTTATAAAGCTAAACTACATGAAAAGAGCACAAATAATACTATATAAACAGATATGCTAAAATTTTGGTTTTACAATGATCGGTTTTACAATTACCTTCTCTATTTGCTTTTTTCTAGCATTAAGTATTTTGATATCAAAGAAGGTTCATTAACATAACCTTCCTTAATGTCCACTATGCCAATTCGCTCTAAATCGAAATAGATCAGAATGAGTAAAAATTGATACAATATGTATGTTTTTATGGCACTATTTGTGCTCTTTTCACATTGTTTAGCTTGATTAAAAAAATTCATTTAACACGTTGAATGCCACACCAATTTTACATGACTTGCCAGCCTGACCAAAATGATTTTCTCTGTATGTATTGCATTAATTTCTTCAAACCATTCTAGTAACGATAATAATATAAGAAAATTAAAATAACTAAAAATCTACTCGAATTATGTGTTTCTAATAATATTGGCTTCGCCGGTCACCGGTGACCCCCGTGGAGCTACGAACAAACTCAGTGCCGGTCACCGGTGACCCAAGTGTTAAATTCATATAAACCGCCATGGCAAATAAACAATTAAAACACATAAAAAAAGATCTAATAAATCTAATAGATCTAGCTGAATTTTTTTTCTGATCCATATTATATAGGTATGAGAATAACTTGACAACTTATCAACAACTTGATCACTTATAGAATTATTTCCCTACCTGTCCAGTATAAGTTCCTCCAGAAGACTGAGGTCACAAGCAATGTATTCAAGAGCAGCATCCGTAATCCTAGGACACCAAGACAGGTCCAGAATCCTGAGTTGTCTTAGATTCTCTGCCAAAAGTTCGACTCCGTCGTCCGTTACTTTGGAGCATCCGGAAAGGGATAAAATTGTTAGGTTGGGCAAGACATGCACAAGATTGAGAAGGCCATGATTGGTCAGCTCCCAGCACGATCGGAGCCGGAGAACCTGCAAAGTACCTCCTTGTTGCGGACCGAAGAAAGCAAGAGCAGCATCTGTCACGTGGTATGCCTGTAGATTGAGCTCCCTTAAGCTGGGCAGCAATTGAGCTGTAAAATCAATGCTAATATTACAAATCATAACAATATTTATGTATACCCTCAAACATACACCCAGTATTTCTAGATAAACTTCTCTTCAAAAACTATTAGCTAATTTTTCAGTTCTCGCAATCATAATTGTTACAAAATTAATACATTTTTAGACATAAAAAATTCCACCCTCCAATTTCGAAACTAAAGTTTGAAAGTATTAACAGTTATCTTCATTGCACGCGGAAAAATAAAATTGTACACGCGGATTCGGAGAAGCGAACGAGAAAGCGGTAAATATATTTTACCAATCAGGTTCTTCGCGTGCATTGTAAACGGTATCTAAGGACTGCCCGAAAGAAAAGTTGCAACAACAGCCGCGTGTGACTTCTAGCAGCCGTGGTATAAAGGAAGGTATGGTGATAAATAGCATTTAAGATTGAGGATAAAAATTCATGGAAGTAAAGTGGAGGCTGTAAACAAACATGAATGCTTAAAAAAACAATGTTCTACAGTACGATTTTTTTTGTGCCAGAAGGTGATCGTGATCAACACTGTGTGATGCAGGCATTTTTAACCTGAATGGTGACTGTTCATTTCGATCGCGGCTTAGGACAAATGGATGTAAACGTTTTGGTGAAGGGTATGCATTAATATCGTTTCTACCCAGAGAATTGAATACCATGACCAGCAAACATCATGACTTCTAATAAGTCCATTTGCTACTATTGATGAAGTGATTAAAGATAAACGTAGAGTTGAAAGTATGTACTCTGTGTAGCATAAAATTTGTGTAGCACTAAAGAATATACATAGAAGAGGATGGCTAGCTTTCATAGACACAATGTAAATTTGTCCCTCAAGGGTTGGTACGGTTCCTATGTGCAAAGGAAAAAGCAACATTTAGGAGCACAGCAGCAGAGTTTCTTTTCGAAACGGGCTCAATCACTGCTGATTTAGGGGAGGGAAGGAATTATTCTCTTTTCACTGATGATTGATGTGTTGCATATCGTGCATCAGTATTTCACTATTTAATAAGATATATAAGATATCATCCATGTTGTGAAATATTGAGATAGAGAGAAAGAATAAAATAGTGGTTGGCAGGAAGCAGCGTTCACAACACAACTGGTTAGATGACGTATAGTTTGTCTACGGTAAGAACTCCTCCCTCCACAAAGTCTGAGACCGTCTGCTGCTATGGAAACAAGAATAGCGCATTTCAGGGTGGGTAGCTTCTCTACACTCTATGGCTGACACAGTAGACAAAAGAAAAAGATTCCCTTTCTCTCTGGGGCCACCCCACCCAAAACCTGTTCTAAACAATGAACCCACACCACTACTTGAAATAGTTATACCTCGTTACCATAGTCACCGACTCGGATCCAGACGAAGGGCTAGGGGTGTTCTTACTTTAGACAAACTATGGCTTCTAACTGTCCCTTTGCTTACTGTGCATGTGTGCTGAATCTTAGTACTTACAATGCTCTGCAAAATCGGAGTATACTGCGCCCTTCTAAGTTGTATTTCTGTTATAGCATCCTGTACTGAGCAGTTCCCCACGTTAGTTACATATTAGGAAAGCTCCTTTCTATATTCTTTGGTTGCACCCAATTTAAGTTAAGGAAAGCTGCAATCCTCTTTCGCCATTGAAAATCATACTAAGGTTTATGCTCAATTCTGGGCGCACCATCTCACGCACAACTTTACATTAACTTTTAATTCTGTCATCTGAATTAGTTAATCAATTATATTAAATTTACGTGTAATCTTCCTACATTCCATAATGATTTTAAATGGGGGCACTACTATATTTCTGATGTTATTTCACGTTACCACTTTTCAATAGAGCTACCCTTGTAATAAAAGTTGTTAAAAAGTTGTTAACAATTTCAACAGCATTTTGAAAAAGGATCGCCTGAGGGTTAATCTTCAAATAGTTGAAGGCTCTATCATTAGACAATGATATGCCACAAAAATATTTAAAGAAAAAAAAACATAGTTCCTTTAAATATGATGTATTTGCAGAATACAGTTTTCTCTTTAAAAATATTTTTCACCAATTTTAGTGAATCAACATAGAATCCTTTCCGTACTATTAAAATATCGATTCTAAAAAACTGACTGTTTTACTGCTTTAAGTATTTTCGGTCTTAAATTCCACCATCAAAAAGACCAACATTTACAAAGTTTTTGTAATATTTTGTTTTATTATTTAAAGTAGTGGCAAAATTTATACTTATATTTACTTCCTGGATTTATAAGTACAGTTTAAAATGTTTTTGTCACCATAATAAATAATGAATAAAATAAACATATAATAAGATGTGTAACAATCAGACAGTATGCATTTAAGCCTTCGTAAAATTGAAGAAAAAAAACAACAACAACAAAACTTCTAACTACAATTGTTATTTATACTTGGGAATATCATCCTCACTTACAGTTGGGATACTACACACTCATACTCTGAGAAACATATATTCCCTATATACTTTGGAAAATCATCCTCACTTACACTTGGGATACATATTGACAATATACAGTTTGAAAAATCATGCTTACTTATATTTGGGATATTATATACTCATACACTGGGATACAAAAGCTCACTCTGCACTCTTATAGAGGGATGAATATATTCACTATACACTTGGGAAAATCATCTTTACTTATACTTGAGATACTACACTCACTCTACACTCTTATAGGGGGATGCATATACTCAATATACACTTGGAAAAATCATCCTTACTTACTTACGCCTGGGATACTCTACACTCTTATAAGGGGAAGCATATACTCAATATACACTTGGAAAAATCATCTTTACTTACGCCTGGGATACTATACACTCACTCTACACTGTTAGAGGGGGATGCATATACTCAATATACACGTGGAAAAATCATCCTTACTTACGCTTGGGATACTATTCACTCATACACTGGGATACATATACTCATTAAACACTTGGGAAAATCATCCTCAGAAAGCAGTAAAAGTTAGGTATGCCCCAAAAGCTCTTTAAAAATGAGTAAAATTTGTCTCAAATAGATATTAAAAAAAGTATAATGATTTTTCTCAGAGCAAACCTTTATTTGACAGTTATATTGCGAGGGAGCAGTAAGCAGCAGTTTCGATGTTTTTAACCCAATTGAGTCCAGCGTCCTTTCAAAAAACTGGTTCTGTTTTTTTTGTTTAAAAAAGTAGCAGGACAACTATTTCATAGCTGGGATTTATAATGAAATATATAGTTTTGTCTACCGTCACATGTTAATAATATGAACTGATCTGATCTTTTTTCATGAGCTGGGCAACGCAGAGGCCCCTATCCCATCCGTCGTGAATTATTTATCGTTGTATAAGTTCTTTGAGATCAGCAGACTATGTGGTAGCTGTCAAGAATAATATGAATTATTATATTTAAATCAGAAGTGCATTCACAATTTATATTTCTAAAGTGATAGGTAATTGAAATAAATAAAAAGTTTTAAACAAATGTGTACTGTAACTTTTTTATCTATATGTTTTTGATATATAGACAACTTTTCATGTCTAGACCTGACTGGGTTAAGAATTAAAACACATGAAAGAGTGTTTGTAAATTTTCTCCTGTTGAACAGGTCATGCTATACAGTTATCACGACAAATTCTTCCCACTGGAAGTTTGAGGTTGTCTGCTGCTATGGAAACAGTAAAACAATTTCTGGTGAAGAAAGGACATGATTGTCCGATGTCGAAGTGACTTATTTTGAATTGGGTTAAGAGTTTATTTTCGAATAGTGACTTTGAACATTCACTCATCATTTACTACTATAAATAATAAATTCGTTATTACAAGAAGATTTGAACTTTCAATTGGTATCTCTTACGTTCCCGTACTTGGGCTTTACACAAGCTCTGTAGAAAACCGATAGTCTTAGTAATAACTGTGCTGCGCAGAACTTACATGCGTGTACGTACGGAATGCTATGTTGAAGTGCAAGATCTCTCGAAAAGAGAGACCCTGCACACTCACGTATGCAAGTTTTACAACGGTGGTTACCAACTGGCGGCCCGCGAACTGAAATATATTAGTTGTCATTTTTCGTGGACAATTTTCGTAAAAAATCTATATGGGTTTTAAATACTTTTAAGTTTTATATCTTGACAATTTGATGTCTGTTGCACATTAGTTGTTTAATACATAGGTGCACTTTAAGTTATTGCAGCCAGAATTTTTTTATCTGCAATTAAATTAAATACTTCTCAAAATCTACTTCTCATTTTAATTTGTAATTCAATACTTTTGTTTTGTACAACTTGATAAAAACCTGACAGTAATACTTAATATTCCTTCAAATATAAAAGAGTCCATTATAAAATTTTGATAGAGATGCGGCCCGTCGTTTGACTGGTGTTTTTAATTGCGGCCACCGGCCTCATATAAGTTGGATGGAAACCCCTGTTCTACAAGCTCTATAAAGATTCGAAGACATTCTGTAATAACTGCGCAGCGCAAGACTTGCGTGGGTTGCTATATTGAAAGTGTAAAATCGCAGGTGAATGTTCGGGCTCCAATATCGAAAGGGTAAAATCGCGGATGAATATAATGGAAGTTCTATTGAACTTTCAATATATTCCCCGCTATACTGTATTAAAATTGCACGGGTGAATGTGCGGGATGTAATATTGAAAGTGTTAAAACTTTCAAGTCCACAAGTATTGGGAAACCTGCTCTTTTGAGAACAAAAAAAGTAGGAAAAAAATATTACCTATGGCAGCCACTGACTCGTCCGCGACGTTGATGCAATCAGCTAAGGTGAGGTGAGTAATACGAGGGTGGAGACTTGCCCACAGTCCGGCATCTGTCACCTCATTACAACCGGACATTTCAAGATGGACAACTCCGTGGAAGAACTCCAATAGGACTTCGTGACCTTTATCGGTCACATTGCAACAGCGTAAAAGTAGCGACCGGATCTGCCGGACATATGTGTTAGGAAAATTACTGACCACGTCATAGACGTCATCGTCACCAGCTCCAAACAAACACAATGATGTGAATCCTCTCTTTTCTAAACTGGAATACACCTGAAATAAGAACATTAATTTTAATAACTTCGTTGCAATTTTCAATCTATTGATATTTACCACGGGTTTGCAATGGGCGAATTGCCGTCGAATAATTTCCAAAAAGTGGCATAAAATACCATAAACAAAAGTGCAAAAAAAAAAACAAACAAGAAATGTTAAACTTTTTTCAGTTCAAATTTTTGGATTTTAGCTTCTTTTCTTCACTGTTTCGACCGCATAGGTGCAGTGACAGAGGCCATGTGCCCACTACTCAATAATGTTTCAAAACTTCAGAAGTATTCCCTTCAAAATTCAATGTTATGCTTTTTAAACTTCACAAAAATCCTATTATTCAACAATTTAGTTAAGTTTAGCTGGTTTTTATACAACTTGGCAAATCAGTTAAATGATAGATTAAAATTTATTAAATGTATTTTCTTTAAATTTGTTACTATTCAAACGCAATCACTTCAATTAAAAAAAAATGACGTACTGTTACTTTACTGCAACTTTAATAGTTTTTCATAAAATTATTTTTTAATTATAAATTATTTTTAACATGGTGCAACAAATTTTACAAGCATTCTTTCATTCTTTGAAAAGTGTTTTAATAAGAATCTAAATCAGTTTTGTTTCATAGTGTTGAACTGTACACAGTATTTCGTGTTTTGAACTCGAGATTTGTTTTATGCATAAATTTACGTAAGAAAAATCTGATAGATTAGTTACGCTGAAGAATATTAATGCACGCAAATTACAGTATTATATTAGTATACAAATATTAGTATACTGTTTTAAATTACAGTTAAAGAGATTCGTAAATGATTTACAACTTAACGATCAGATTGCTCATTGCTGCATTTCTTTCATGCAAAAATTGCGTAGAATACATGTATCAGTCCGTTTGGTAAGCAAAAATATTAAATTACTGTTGTGAACTCACTAAAGTTGTTATAACAATATAAGTTTAGATTTAAGTGTTATTTTAAAAATGATTACTTAGAAGAACTACTTATGTTCACTAATAGATCTTAATAGAATCATAATGGAAATATTCGGACATTAGAAGTGGAGGCACAAACGTTCGTAAACATAATTCTTTTTAGTACATATATTAAGTGAATTATTTCAGTTTTCGTAGAAAAAAAACTGTTTTATGCCAAGAAACAACAATTACTGCGATGCGATCAACGAGGTTGGTGAGAGGCAACGAACAGTTAAATATTAGATGCCGCTAGTTAAATATTAGATGTTTGTTGTATCTAATGACTATAGGGCAAGCCTAACTCGATAGCCATTGGCCTTGTGAATTAAGTCATGAATATGAGCCTTTCGTTCGACAAGAAAGTACTGAAAGGATACATTAGTTAAGCAATCGTTGACTAAGTAGTTTAACACGTTCACACCGGGAGAAGTGAAAATACTGGTACGGGAAAAGAGAAAGTACTGGTAGAAGAACTATTTCAATATTAGATAATATTCGGTAGGAGTTAATTTATTCTCAACAATAACAATTAACTGTAAGGAAATTTATCACGGCGAAGAAGCAATTCAATATAAAAATTGCATCCGTTAAAAACAATTGGTAGTTATGGATTTTTATTATTCCCGGAAAAAAAACTGAAAAATGAAATTTATTTGTTACCAGTTTTTACTCCGGTGCGCTGCCAAGATGAGACAATCTAGAGTGACCCACCGGTGGGTCACCCCGGCGTGAACGTCTTAAATTAAAAAAAAAATTATCTATGCCTTGTTAAGTATACCATTAGTCATAGACCTTAACACTAGATGGTGTAAGGAAGTCATTTTGACTGCTTTTAATTTCAATTAGAAAAACAATGATGTATATAATGACACGATTTCTTAGAATTGTGTACAACATATAATTTTTTTATTGTTACTATTTGCTAATAACTTGTTATATAACTGTAAATAATGTAAAAAATATTAAAAATTAATTTTAAACAAATTTCCTTTCACATTATTTACTCTTTTACAATTCAGTCATTTTGGGTAATATAGGTACATACTAAGTTTTAGTCTTTCTAGTGTTAAGCATACTACCACTATGTGAAAAATGTATGTTAAGAAGTCCGAAATGGTGAGAAAAGAGAACCTTTGTTCCAGAGATATTATAGATAAGTTATTTTGCAACTTTTATGCCAAGAGCAAAAATTAATAGTAAGTTCTGCTATTTCTCAAGCTGAGATATTATTTATTATTTACCATATACTTAGTGAAAATGTATTCATTACAAAACTAAACATTTGATGTATAAAAATGTACAATTCTGGATAGTAAAATAAACTACAATATATTTGGCTGTTTATGAAAAGCACATTCATTGAAATTTCAAATCGTAATAGTATCGTAAACTGTAACGACTCGAAATCGTAACTGGCATGACACGTACTTCTGAAAGGCAATAATTTCATACTTTACTAAAAGTTAATGTCTATTTTTTTTTCCAAAAAGAATATAGTAATAAATATTTTATCATCTATGCGCAAGAAATCTTTGCTTCCTTCATTTAATGGGAAAACTTTCCGAAATGTTTCCAAAGATCCTGAAACCCCAAGAAAGAAACAGCAATTTACAAAATGCCGGCAATAACTATTAAATATACGAGAAAATGCTACGTCTCGTGCATATTTTCAAGATAAACAGGATTTCAAAAAACGTCTCCTTGTAACATTTAGTTTCTTGAGTTTTCGTTCATTTTCCTCATTTCAGCAATATTACGGCAACGAGAATTTTTATTTTATTTCTTTTCAAGTATGAGATACAGTTTATAATTAATGGTGTTCATTTTTAAAGTGTTAACTTAAATAAATACCCTATTTAATGTTATATATGGTGTTTAGGTGTTCATTAACACATAATTTAGATTTAAAAACCATGGAAAAAGGACGTTTTTTTATGAACTTTGTTACATTACTTTCCATCAAGAAAATTACTAGAAACAACTTCAGATAAGAGTTGGATTTAATAATTTTCCTTTACCCTTTTAACTAATATGTGCCTAGCGTCCTTTGAAAATGTCTGTTCCTTAAAAAAAGTATCAATATGAAAGTTTTATTACTGGAATAGTGGTAAACTTACTTAAATTCTAATGGTGTTGCTGTTGTCATCGGCCATTAAGGCCGAGGTGGTTTGATTGTTCTTGTTTTCCAGTGGCGCCATCTATGGCCAAACATCCGACTTCGGTCACACCCATACGTCACTACCCGTTTACAGGGCGGACCCATTCAAAAATGCATTCATTCATCCACAGATCGTGATTTTGACCTGAACCTGAGAACGATCAATCTCCAATTCAGTACCTCCGGAGGTATTGATTTGTTATGGGAACATGGGGGACTTTGTGACCCAACAAATGTAACGTGCATCAGTCACCATTTACTACACGGGGAGTCTTCGGCCGGCTGGATTCGAACTCCCGTTCCCACAAACGTGAGTTAACGTCCTGCCAACCAAGCTATCCCGGCCATGATTCTAATTTTTATACCAACTATTAATAGTAATATTTAAATGTTTAAATTTTTTTGATCGCGAAGTTTAAATTCTCAACTTCATATTATTATCCTTTAAATACAAAATTTACTTCAGAAAAAAAAACAGTATTTATTGGTTATTGGTACGATGAAATCAAGTTTGTTAACAATTAAAACAACAGTGCCGGCTTACCCATTAGGCCATGGCCTTGGGCCCCCAATGATTAGGGGCTCCCTAAAAATGAATTTTTTGAAATAAATTTAAAAAAATTAAGAAAAACAATGATTTTGCATGGATGTTTCTTTCTCTCTCTGTGTGCTCGCTCTATGTCCTTCCTCCTTTGTGTGTGTGAATGTGACCCGCCCTATAAACGGGTTTGTGATTGTGTGAATGGTGTGGCAGAAGTCGAATTCTTGGCCATAGATAGCGCCACTGAAAAACAAGAACAATCGCACCCCCTCTGCCTAAACAGGCATACGACAAAAAAAAAGTAAAATTTAATTTATTAATATTTATTTTTATTTTAAATATGCCTGCTTAAATGAAAAGATATATAAATACTTTTATATTTGAATTAATAAAAAATTAACGAGAAAAACAACTTAATCGAAAGGCCCCAAAAGTTTGAATGGCCTTGGGCCCCGCGTACACTTAATCCGGTCCTGTAAAACAAAGTCAGATTCTGATTCACGCAGGTCATCGGCTATAGATAATACACATAGGTGCATAGAATATGACATTATCGTGAAAATTATTCAAAGCGATATTTATTGAATATGATATTATTGTGAATGTTGTTCTTTTTTTTTCAATTAACAGACACCAATGTAAAAATTAAGATTAATATGGAAAATTTCGAAAGTATATATTTCACAAGTCATCGCAAATTTAAAATTTGCATTCATTTTTTAATGTTTATGAGAGGGTCACCTCGAAAAAACTGTCGCCAACACATGGGCCTTGTAACTGATAAGTAGAAGATGTAAGGCAGGATAGAACCTAACGTACACACATTTAAGACAAATCACTCAAGTCTCAACTCCTTCCTGGGTCTAAATATTAAGAAAATTAAGTTTTTTAAAAGTAAAAATATTTCGTATAGGTTAAAAAAAAGTTAAATAAAGCTGTCTGACAACGCTATCAGCTCATTTTAGTTGCCAATTAAATGTGTCAAATAAAAGCAAAGGCTGGTTTTAAATTTTAAACGTAAATTATCATTTACTTCGTTACGCTGTCTTTTAGTTCTTGAATAACGCCATTATATATAAATTATTTGTTAAAGTTTATTTTTTTGCTTTAAAATGCATTGTTTACTGTTTCAGAAATTACATACATGTATTCTTTTAAATTATTCTTTTGCTTTAAAAACATGCATTATTATAAATTAAAGAAGTTTAAAACAGCTAAAGTTCTGTGGGGAGAGTAGAAATCGACCATGTCAACCGTTATCTATGAAAAGGTACCCCATCGTAGAATCGAGTTTACAATTAACATGTTTTATATACAAGTGAATTGGAATTTCG